AAATGCAGAGTTAAAAGCCCAAGAAGTCAGAGCAGTAGCTGAGAGCTGAGACTTAAAACCGCCTTCTTACCCTTCCTGCCGCTGCCGTCCTTCCCCTCAGAAAGAGACCTACTTCCTGTGTGTCTATCTTTTTATTGACTTTCTGTTCTGCCTTCTTATTGGTTGTAAACCTAACCACATGACCTCCTCGTCACTGCCTGTCTATACAGACCTCTAGGTCTCTATGGTTGGTATTGAGATTAAAGGCGTGTGTCTCCATGCTGGCTGTATCCTTGAACACACAGAGATCTGCCTGCCATGTGATTGGGATTAAAGGCGTGCACCACTACCACCCGGCTTCTGCTATGGCTTGCTATTAGCTCTGACCCCCAGGCAACTTTATTTATTAACATACAAATAAAATCACATTTTAGCACAAATAAAATATCACAATAGTCTCAAATATGTTCAAGCCATGCCCAGTATCGCAGACCACTTCCTGTTGCCTACAGATCAAGACGTGTTAACTCTCATCTCCTTCTCCAGCACCATGCCTACCAGCATGCCACCATGTTGTACCATGATGATAATGGACAAACCTCTGAACTGCAAGCCACCCCAAAAAATGTTGTTCCTTTGTAAGTGTTGCCATGGTCACAGTGTCTCTTCACAGCAAGAAAAACCCTCACTAAGATAACTCTTTTTAAAAACAAACAAACAAAAAACAAGAGACTTTGGTTTTACATCTATGAGGGCAAGTAGAGAGGTGGGAAATAAAGGAGGGGAGGATATCATGGATTAGGGGAGAGTAAGGGAGGGCAGGGGAGAGTAAGGGGGGCAGGGGAGAGTAAGGGAGGGCAGGGGAGAGTAAGGGAGAGCAGGGAGGGTAAGGGAGGGCAGGGGAGAGTAATGGAGGGTAGGGGAGAGTAAGGGAGGGCAGGGGAGAGTAAGGGAGAGCAGGGGAGGATAAAGGAGGGCAGGAGAGAGTAAGGGAGAGCAGGGGAGGGTAAGGGAGAGCAGGGAGGGTAAGGGAGGGCAGGAGAGAGTAAGGGAGAGCAGGGGAGGGTAAGGGAGGGCAGGGAGGATAAGGGAGGGCAGGGGAGAATAAGGGAGGGTAGGGGAGAGTAAGGGAGGGCAGGGGAGAGTAAGGGAGAGCAGGGGAGGGTAAGGGAGGGCAGGAGAGAGTAAAGGAGAGCAGGGGAGGGTAAGGGAGGGCAGGGAGAGTAAGGGAGAGCAGGGGAGAGTAAGGGAGGGTAGGGGAGAGTAAGGGAGGGCAGGGGAGAGTAAGGGAGGGTAGGGGAGAGTAAGGGAGGGCAGGGGAGAGTGAGGGAGAGCAGGGAGGGCAGGGGAGAATAAGGGAGGGTAGGGGAGAGTAAGGGAGGGCAGGGGAGAGTAAGGGAGAGCAAGGGAGAGCAGGGAGAGTAAGGGAGGGTAGGGGAGAGTAAGGGAGAGCAGGGAGGGTAAGGGAGGGCAGGGGAGAGTAAGGGAGAGCAGGGGAGGGTAAGGGAGGGCAGGAGAGAGTAAAGGAGAGCAGGGGAGAGTAAATGAGGGCAGGGGAGGGTAAGGGAGGGCAGAGGAGGGGAATTGGAGGCCAGAAAAGAGAGTGTAGTAGGGGAGAAGGTAGGAGAGGAAGCTAGATGAGAGGTTAGGAGAGAAGGAGAGGGGAGGAGAAAACAGGAGGGGAGAGGACCTGATAGAGGACTGTTTCTGAAGAGAAAGGAAGTGATCAAACCACTAGGCATACATACAGGTAAGGCGGAGGTAAAGCAAGCGTGACAAAAGTCCGTGTGTGCTCCCCGGAGAGCCCCAAGCTTGGCAAGCCCCCAGGAAGCACAATGTGAGGGGACAAGCCACGGTGGGCAGGCACTGGCTTATAGGCAGGGGTGACACACACCCGACTGCCCTCCTGGTGGTCAGTTCCCTGAACCTGCCCCCCACTGTGCCCAAGTTCTGTCTGAAATGGGAACTCACCACACAAGAACAGCTGGCCTTGTGGGAGTCAATAAGGGGGCCTCATGTCTCCCGGAAGCATGCTGAGACCTCAGGTGGGCCATGCACCTTGGTGAGTGGAAATAAATGTCCTTTACATGCTCTAGTCAGAATTTCATAAGGTTTATGTTGATAGTGATATCGATTTTCAACTTGACAAGATCTAGAATAACCCAGAGCACAAACCTCTGGGTATGTCTGCAGGACATAGATATTTGTAGACAGCATTAGTTGATGTGGGAAGGCTCACCTTAAATGTGGGAAGGACCAATCTATGCACTGATTCCTAGACTGAATAAAAACAAGAATCTGAGCTGAGCTGGGTGGTCGTGGCACATGCCTTTAATCCCAGTGCTTGGGAGGTAGAGGTAGGTGGATCTCTATGGGTTCAAGGCTAGCCTGGTCTACAAAGTGAGTTCTGGGACAGCCAGGGCTGTTACATAGAGAAAAACAAACAAAGGAAAGAAAGAAAGAAAGAAAGAAAGAAAGAAAGAAAGAAAGAAAGAAAGAAAGAAAGAAAGAAAGAAAGAAAGAAAGAAAGAAAGATAGAATCTGAGCTGAGAAGCAGCACCTCTTCCCACTTCCTGACTGTGAGGACAATGTGACCGCTGTCTCACACTCCCGCAGGCCTGGTCTTCCCACCATGGTGGACTGTACCCTCTAATTGTGAGCCACAACTAACCTTCCCTTTCTTCTATTACTTTGTTCACAGCAATGGAAACATAACCAGGACAATATCGACAGATTAAGGGAACAGACTTGAGTACAAAGTCTGAGACAAGTTGTTCTTGAGGTAAATGTAAACTCTTCACTTTAAAAATGACTAATAAAGAGTGAGTAGGGGCTCACTTCTCACAGTGTTGGAGGTTTTCAGAACATTTTGAAATATCTCTTTACCACGGTCATTTAGTTTAAGCCAATACTCCATTAAGTAAATGACTGTCACCCACAAAGTCAACCATCATACAAACGAGGGCTGGGCACATGGCACATAGTGAGCACTTGCCTAGAATGAATGTGGTTCTTTGGTTCATTCCTAGCACCTCAGAAAAGAGAAGGAGAAGGAGGAGGAGGAGGAAGAGGTGGAGAAGGAGGAGGAGGAAAAAAGAAAGAAAACACTGGTTAGATAGACAGGAATAAACGCCGTGGATAGCATGCTAGTTGTTTCTCTAGTGCTGGGCTGCAGCACAGGCATCAGGAGACAGAAGAAGAGGATGAAGCACCAGCAACTCCACATGCTCTCTATTCCTGGCTGCTGGGAACTGTGGGGAGCACAGGGTGGGGCCGTCCTAAGTGGTGTGAAGGAGAAGTGGGATCCTCATCGTCCACAGGCAGGAAGCAGCAGTGGCCACTCCCTCAATCATTTCTCTCATGACAGACAAGCTAAGGGCTGAACAGGGAGCCTCAGCACGTAGAGGCTTCCCTGGCCCCCAGCATGTCCAGGAGGGAAGCATGAGGACCTGGAGGGCTAGGCACCCTGATCCACAAGGACAAAGCTTGGGGTGGCTGAACTTCTGCCCCTCTGCTCAGAAAATGAATGCTTGAGGCTGCTGTGCCAGGGCAGTGTGATTAAAAAAATAGCAACCACACATTCTGACAGTAACTTACTCTTTGCTAACACATGTCTCTTTTCCAGAGCTGCAATGAGGTCTTGAAAAGGTATCCCAGGAAACACCAGCCCCAGTGACTGTGAAGTTTATGCTCCTTAACAACGTTAGGGTTCCCACAGGACAACTAAAAACTCACACTTCCCTTCTGGCTTCCTCTGTAGAGAAAAATCCTCAGAACCATCTTTAAGATCCCCAAGACATTTATAATCACTCACTAGCAATGGCTTTTGCAAATGGCCTGACATTTTAGAAAGTCATCTTTAGGCTTTTCCACTGTTTATATTTACACCACTTTCCATTTTACTTGTCCTTAACATGCAAGGTAAGAATTACAGAATTAACAGTGGGTCCCTGAGGTTCCTCGAAGGTCACTTGACTAGCATTTCTCAGTACCCTGTCAGGAGATGAGTTACATGACCCTCCCTCTGGTTTTGTTACCCTGTGGGGAAAAGTTGAACTGGGAATAGATTGGAAAGAAAAAATATTTTCAGAATTGCCACCTGATTTAGCCAAATCATTGTTGTGGTTCTCACAGTGAGTCCTGCAATTTCTCTGTCTTCATTCAGAAAAGCACTTGGGAGGCAGAGCCAGGTGAATCTCTCTGTGAGTTCGAGGCCAGCCTGGGCTACCAAGTGAGTTCCAGGAAAGGCGCAAAGCT